CAGTGAGCATGCTCAGAGCCTGTGCACTCATGGGCCTGTGCACAGTGAGCATGCTCAGGGGCCTGTGCACAGTGAGCACGCTCAGGGCCTGTGCAGAGTGAGCATGCTCAGGGCCTGTGCACAGTGAGCACGCTCAGGGCCTGTGCACTCAGGGGCCTGTGCACCAATGGGCACGCTTAGGGCCTGTGCACAGTGAGCATGCTCAAGGGCCTGTGCACAGTGAGCATGCTCAGGGCCTGTGTACTCATGGGCCTGTGCACAGTGAGCATGCTCAGGGCCTGTGCACAGTGAGCACGCTCATGGGCCTGTGCACAGTGAGCATGCTCAGGGCCTGTGCACAGCAGTGAGCATGCTCAGGGTCTGTGCACAGTGAGCATGCTCAGGGCCTGTGCACCAGTGGACACGCTCAGAGCCACCTGCCACCTGGTGACTGGGGTTTTCATGCTATACACACACTCTTGTGTAAAAAGCCTCTCAGGATGGAAAAGCACAAGCAGAGCACACACGTGACAGTACATGTAACAGCACACAGGACATGACAGCACAGACATAAGCAAACACAAGTACACACGAGAGCACATTTGAACACACATGACAACATGTGACAACACACAAGACCACATAAGCATGCACAGAGCATACACTGACACCCATGAGAGCACACATGAGCATGCACACAGGAACACAATAGCACACACAACTGTGCACATGGCAACACGCGTGAGAACACATGACAAGACACGCACCATGTGTGGCCACATTGTGGCAGCCTGGGAACATGCGTGGCACACAAGCAGCACACATGAGCACCTAGGATTGTACACGGAGGATGAGCTTCCGCCGTTACTGTAAGTGTAGTTGTGTGAAACGGTCCTCACCGGAGTCACCTGAGCAGGCACAGCGTGTGGACACATTCGTGTGGGGTGCCTGGTGTGCGGGCGCTGGTTCCAAGGCGTGGATTGCGACCTGGGTGCATCCCATGGCGGTGGCCCTGACCTGTCCCGAGAGAGGAGAAGACGGCTGCGGGGCCAGCGTGCGGACGCCATGTCCAGTGAGCAGGGGCCACGCACTGCCTGGGCTCCTGGCTTCTGTCTCCCCGGTATCCGCTGCCCATGACCACAGGCGGGGAAGGGGCCTCAGTCTCCAGCCCTGACCTGGGTCTGTGCCGTTCTTCACGGCTCTGGCATAACTGAATGTGGTGCTAGAGGGCCGGGGTGCAGTCTCCCGGATACCTTGTACTTCTGAAGTCCTGCCAATGTCAGGTTCCTTACTAGCACCCAGTGGCAGTGGTCGGATTAGATCTCACAGTTTGTGAGGACCAAACAGCATTCTCCATAGAAGGGCTTGTGTTTGCCACCATTTCTCTTAACTGCCAGCTCCAGTCCTACATCTTAGATAACAGGAACGTAATCAGTTACAGAACACTGTGTGCTCATCTTGTTTGAAATGACAGATTGTCTTGAAAAATACTCCTTAGAAGGTTTTCTCTTCATTCTGACCCGGTGCCTTACTTGAGATGGACGGTTAATGTTTCCGCCCTTCTGTTTCTCTGTATACATGGAGCTTCTGGCTCAGAAGACTTGATTTCTTGAAAATTTACTATCAATCAGCAGTAATCGTGGAATTGGCCACTTAATGTATCAAAGGCTTAAATCTTGACAGTAATCCCTAAATCCCTCCCGCTTCCTCTCCCAGCTAGCGCTCAATTAGCTCCGTGGTGAAAATCCTAGGCTCTGCGCCTCCCTTCATCTCCCTTCATCTGGTGTAGAGGGAGTGCCGCTGGGGTTCCCCCCCCCTGGAGGGCAGTGCCCCAGGCCGCCCGAGTGGGCTTCCGAGGTGTTTATCACTGTCACCCCCTCTGCGCTCAGTCCCGTAGCTCTGGGCACACAGTGAGCAGTGAGCCTTGGCTTCCTTTTCCTGGCCTGTGTGTGCAAGTGACCCACCAATGGAGATGAGTAATTTTTTTAAAAAAGAATATCAAATTATTGTCTCCTCATGTGAGAGCTTTTGATTGTCACACACACACACACACACACACACACACACACACACACACAAAACATGACAGTGAAAAGATGTGAGTTTAGTTGGCAGGATAAATCAATCCTTAGGGAAATGGTATCAACAAGATAGAAGAGAAACCATGCTGGAGTAAAACATGCTCACTGCAGCATTTCCTAGACTGAGCGCGTGCAGGACAGACAGGTTTTCAGCGCGTAGTTGTGAGTTCCATGAAGCGGCACTGTTTACATTTTCACTCTCTAGTGCACATGAAAATAAAACCAAGGCTGTGGGCGCATTTCCAGAGTGGCCAGGTCAGGGTGAACGTGAGCGAGGCCCCGGGCACGCTCCCCCAAATGCCCAGCAGGACAAGGGCAGCCTGGAGCCGGCCTCCAGGGCTCGCTGGGTGCCGCAAATGGATGCGTGTGGAATTGTGCACACGTTTGAAGAGACGCCGCTGGACAGGTAGGTAGTCAGAGCAGCAAGGACCGCGGACATGCATGACAGGCTCTAGACGCCCACGGTCAGCCTGCGGTGGAGCACTGGGAGTCCAGGGACAAACGGAGGGGCGCAGGCAAGGCTTTCTGGGCGGCCCTCGCTCTCCACGTGACCTCGCGCCCTCCCGGGGCCGGCCCCTCCCCGCTGTGCATGGTCTCTTCCAGGGACCCTGCAGCATCCTCCCCTTCCCGTCTCTCCCACCGGCTCCCTGTCACATGGCCCGCGTGGACCGGGTGTCTCGGGCAGCCCCGGGAGCGGCCAGGGAAGGAAGCGTGGGAAGAGGAGCGCACACAGGGCCGCTGCCCCTTCTCAGGTCGCCCGCAGGCCAGGGTGGACGCTGGCCCGCAGTGCTGCCGGCCCCGCGTGGCCCAGAGCCCGGGAGGGACCAGGAAAGCACAGCAGGCCCAGGCGCCCGCCCAGGCCTCTCAGCCCTCCCCATTCTTCTTCCTGAAAACGCGCGTGGGACATTTCCTACTTCACCACATGAAAACCGGGCTGGCGTTGAAAACCGCGCTGCTGAGCACGGAGCTCCGAGCTGAGCGAGCCCTCACTCCGTCTCTGTCTTGGGTGGCACCCACAAGGCCGCGCACAGAGCGGCCAGGCGGCCGGGAGGGTCGGCGGAAGGCCGGGCCTGCGGGGACGTCCCTTGCAGCATCTCTGAGGCCGGCCGGGCAGGGCCTGCGGTCCAGGTGTCTGTGCCCGCGTGCCCGTGTGACTGAGCATATCCCTCCTGCTCTCCCCGCACAGAGTACGACCTGGAGCCGTGCGATGACCCCGGCGTCCCCGCCTTCAGCCGCAGGATCGGCTTCCACTTCGGCGTGGGCGACGCACTGACCTTCTCCTGCTTCCCCGGGTACCGCTTGGAAGGGGCCACCAGGCTGACCTGCCTGGGCGGGGGCCGCCGTGTGTGGAGTGCACCTCTGCCAAGGTGTGTGGGTAGGTGGCCACACGCTTTCATTTCATTCATCCATGGGCCGGGCAGGCTGGTGAGGAGGCAGGCGGGGCTGGGACAGGAGGAGGCTGAGCCGGAGGTTGGACCAGGGAGGCTGGACCAGGTGGAGGCTGAGCAGGAGGCAGGTGGGGCTGGAGTTATCTCCTCTATAAATAAGTTCATAGCAGCCCAAAGTTCTGTGTTTGAAGAAGCCTGAACCCAGGTGTGTGCCAAGTGTGCACCAAGTATGCTTATGCAGGTGCATCCTGGGATTCCTTTGGGGTAAAGCCTCCCGTTGTAATCAGAGCCAGGGCCTGCTCTGGCTCGGGAGGGTAGAGCCTGCCTAGTGGTCAGGGTCGGCCTTTACACCCAGGCCTTTGGTTGTGAGCCTGATGTGCTCTCCTGTGGACTGGGTTTGCACACCCTTGAACCTAGAGCTCACTGGTTCCAGATAGAACTTGCCTGCTGGGTACAGCTTGTCTGTTCTGGGTGGAGCTTGTCTGTTCTGGGTACAGTTTGTCTGTTCTGGGTGGAGCTTGTCTGGTCTGGGTGGAGCTTGTCTGTTCTGGGTGGCGCTTGTCTGTCCTGGGTGGAGCTGGTCTGTTCTGGGTGGAGCTTGTCTGTTGTGGGTGGAGCTTGTCTGTCCTGGGTGGAGCTTGTCTGTTGTGGGTGGAGCTTGTCTGTTCTGGGTGGAGCTTGTCTGTTGTGGGTGGAGCTTGTCTGTTGTGGGTGGAGCTTGTCTGTCCCGGGTGGAGCTTGTCTGTCCCGGGTGGAGCTTGTCTGTCCCGGGTGGAGCTTGTCTGTCCCGGGTGGAGCTTGTCT